CCTCCTTAGCAGTGATACCGGCGCTAAAACAGTCGGATTCGTCAAGATGAATCATTGGCATCTGGCAGAGTGGAAAAAAGTGGAGGCACTGTTAGACAGAATATATATATGATTTCGTAGACACATTTAATCTGTAGCATAATCAAGTAAGACGTCAATATTTATTATCGAACCTACGCCACATTTTAGGTCAACGCTGAACCAGTTGGGCACGTATATCAACTTCTCCCGCGACTTTACGACAGCAGCGAAGTTTGCTTTTCCGAGGTGCTCCACGATGCGTCCCTAAACACAAGTAGAGTATTATATAAACAATAAGGAAAATGCATCAAAGATAGAGACCACCATAAAAATCCGTATTGACTAGAAATTATCATACTAAGAAAAGTAAGCGAAAATAAGTCTCTGATGGCCAAATAGGTGATAGTGCAGTAGGTTTAGAATTAAAGTCTCAGAAAACAGAATAATAAAAAAGGACATTGTGCAATTTGAATAAATTGATATAAAATTAGTCGGGATGAAGGCCATCGTGTCTGTAATAAGACTAATTAAATGCTACTTTCGAAAATTAAATAAAAATCATCTAAGGTCATTGGCTAGCAAGATAATGGTGGAATTTAGATATAAGGGATATAGCGCTTTTAAAAGATTAGGCTGACACCAGGTATTTTTGTGTCAATTGGGCAAGAGATAAAGCTATTTCATAAAACTTTTGGAGATCAAAAAAGAAAATGGGTAAAAGTCCAAATAAATAAACCACATCGTTATATTAGCCCCTATAAATTCTTGGGTTAACAAGTCAAACAGGAATGCAGTCTACCTGGAGGACATCATAGACATTTACATCGTTGTTTGACGATCTAGTGACAATGAAGCGCTTTTCGTTACAGATGTGATATTGCACGACGGAATGTCCACCTATGGTTAGCAAATAAAGGAGTAAAAATTGAAGAAGGCAAAAAGTTTAAGATAAATATCGACCAAAACATAAATTAGCATACATCCCTTTACCCAATAATTAATCATAAATGGGGATAACGAAAAAGTGTATAAAGCTTAATTCGGAAAATGAGCTTGTTTAGGGCTAAAGATTGAAAATGGAGGTTGGTTTAGTGGTGTTGATCAATTTGTAATGGAAATAAAAATGGTATGAATTTGCTAGTAAGTAGGAAATAATTTTAGTAGAGATGTAAATTATAAGGATGCATAGAAAATTGTAA